CACGAATCCCCAATTGCTTTTGTCAGAATAACTTTGCAGGTTGGATCCTTGTCATGGAATTTCAATTGGATTGAGATTCAGACTATTTGCAGTTCCTGACATTGACTTTATATGTCTTCTTTCAAGGAATGTTTTCACACTTTTTGCTCCATTACTCGATGCATAATCATCTTGAAAATTGATTTCATCATCCCCAAATGTCCTTTGAGTTGATGAGAGAGGAAAAGTGTCCAAAATGTCAACGTAAACTTGAAATTATAATGACAACCATCTCCCAGTCCCTTTCCTGACATGCAGCTCCATATCATCAATGATTACTGTGGAAATGTGCATGTTTTCTTCATGCATTTGTCTTCATGAATCTCATTGGAACGGCACCAAACAAAAGTTCCAAAGCAGATTCACGATTCATCACTGAATAAGACTTTCATTCAGTCATTCACAGTGCACACAATTGGTTTCCCTTAGCCCATTGTCACCTTGCTTTAAGTTTTCTGTCTTGATGCTTTGATATCTTCCTTGGTCTATGTCAGGGAATTCACCCGAACATCTTGAACTTTGAATGAAAAGACTCGACTCAACTCAGGAACAGATTTGTCATTTGCAGATCAGCAAAGGGGGCAAAGTTCCTCGAAGGCAGCACAAGTCGTGTTGCCTCTCAGATGAAAAACCCCACCTTCGCACCCACGCGGACCACTTTTTATTCACAGGATATGCAAAATACAAGTAACATATCAGAAAAACATTCCTCCTTATTTGCATGTCGCGCTTCCCAGCCCAGCCCACTGATATGATCCTCAGTGGACACCTGGAGGCCAAAACATCTTCCGGTGCAAACAATGGATACCTTGTTAATTCAATGGGTAGAATTCGCATGAATTGAGACACTGTAACAAACCGAAGGGCATCTTGTCATGCTGCCCTCCCGAAGTTGAACCTTCCTGTCACCACATTTTTAAAAAATTATTTTAGTGTTGATTAAATTTAGAAAGTTGCCATTCGAAATGACTTTAGTTTTGTGTCATGTCTGTGATCTTTTTTTCCAACAAAATTAAACCACTGAATGAGAATCCTCCAAAACTGGTAATTCCATATTTTTCCCAAGGTACCAGTGTACTCTGGAAAGGCCGCTCTGATGTAAACTGCAGCTAAAGTTTGGGTGACAATTATTCAAAAACTTGTAATGCACCTGTTAGCGTATGTGCAATATTAATTGCAAGAGACAGGACGCGTTCCTTCATTTTTGAGGGAACGCAGTTTTTTTTTTTGTTCTCCATGTCACCTTAGGGGCTCGGTACTTCTGATTGGGATCTTGATTAGAGTACTTGTCAGAGTGAGGTCATGGCTGTATTCTCTCCCGTTCCCGTAAAAAAAACAAAAAACAAAAAATCATGATTGCGTTTTTGTTTTGAGAGTTCAACAGTCTTCGCCTCTTCACGCCGCCATCTTGGCAAACTAGTCGGAAGTTACCGACAAAGACAGCGAAAAATAAAAAGCTGCAAACACAGCATCCGGAGGCTGCGACGATGACGCGAAGCGAAGGGCGGCGTTCCAAAGTGTTTTTTCTTTCGCTTCTGAACTGTTGACAACATCAAAATGTTGAAAGGGTGGGGAAGGGAACGACTTACTACGACCACCGAGGAAATATTGGGACTGGTGGAGCGAACGATAGCGTCATACGAGAAGCAACTTTATCCAGCGAGGAGACCGGCGGACACACGTGTATCAGTGCCAGTGTGGAAAAAGCACTGCGGCTGTAGCTCGTGACCCACGCAGCTCCTTCCTCGCGCCGTCCGCACGCAAGGTAAGCGGCTGTGGTCGTCACTACACGGAAGCCTACTATTGATGTGGACACTGCGTCAGTTTTTCCCCATCGATGAAAATACAAACTTGAAGCAGATGTTTCAGATCTCCTTTTATGGAGCGATACTAAGCTATCCTTAGTAATCTTGATTTATATTTTACTTAAGCGATCATTCAAAAATCCAAATACTGTTGCTGCGAACCTGTGGAATAGGTTTCGGTTGCGTTTTCATTTTAGATAGAACAGTTTTGCCCAGCCGTAGTGAGTGGGAGCTGCCTTGGAAATTGTCTGTAATCTCCCAGTTGCCTTCTTGCAGCAAACAGGGACTGTCTGTTGAAAGTAGAGGCAGATTTGATTCTTGGAATGCCACCGGGACGACTGCAATTCACTGACTGCTTGGGTCAGTCGCACACCTTGTAAACTCAAAGGAATTCCACAACAAGACAGTCAAGTTTGACAATAAGTGGCAAGAATGTTAGAGTTCTTGTCTTTGGAGCTTAGTGTGGATTCCATTTTGCATTTTTGATGTACACAACAGAGAACCTCCAATGAGAAATGTCAAATTGTAATTTGTTTTACTGCTTCAAGGGGAAATTCAACTTCGACATTTGAGTATAAACCAGATCACACACATGTAGGCATGCAAGGAGGAATTGGAGATTTGGGGTCCGAGTTTGCATTTTCTCCCTGCGCCTGCGTGGGTTTACTCTGGAAAGTGCACTTCCTTCCCCATTCCAAAAACATGCATGGTAGGCTAATTAGTGGTTGTGAGTGTAAATGGTTGATGACTGTCATGGAAATCACTGTTAGGACTGCAACTAATGATTATGTTAATAATCAATTCATCTGAGATTTTTTTTTGTAATTACCGGTAATATGATTAAAAGAAAAAAAATCCTTCGTCCCCCCCCTCCCCCTCAAAACAGGGCCTTATTTAAAATTGACAGTGTGGAAAATGTTCAAATGCAAATTAATTATGGGTCACTTACTGGTTTGGTCCATAACATGTCAGAAAATAGGCCTAAATGTTGATCATTGTTTTTCCAAGTAATATCTGAGTTGTGCAAATGTCGGACTTTGATACAACAATAAAATAATCGATCTGGTTTCATGTCGGATTACAGAAATCAGAGAATATTTGCTGTTGAGAGGCTGCAATTCTAAGGATTTGGACAATTTTAGGTGAAACAAGGTCTTAAAATAATTACTCGATGATCAAAATAGTTGTCAATTAATTGCTGTACCTCCTCCAATTGACCAGACAGGCCAACAAATTGTTTCCTGTTCCCTCTTTGTACAGTCTTATTTTATTTTAGTTTAATTTTGTTTTCATAAAACATTGCCTTTTCATTTAAATATTTTAAAGAAATAAATTCACATGATTTTGCAATGGGAACATTTATTTTGAAATTAGTAAAACATCTTAAGTCAACCAACATCAGCGAGCTGGAACATACCCCATCTGACTTTGGGTGAGAGGTTGTGTACACCCTGTACTTGTAAGCACTTGTGGTGGTTACGTTATGAATGAAGATGCAACAATAAACCTTTCTGTAATCCAAGACAATCTGTACATATAAATATCTGTGAAGTTATTCTCAGTCTTCAAAAATTATTATTTCAGTACCTGACATTGAATATTTTTTTCCATCTTTGGGTTCCACTTAAATGGAGCTACAGTATTCAGAATGGTGAGGTTGAAAATGCTAAACATGAAACTTGACTGTGGTTGTTACCAAACCAGAATGTTGTTTCTGCTTCCCCTTATTATTTTCCATTCAACACATCTAGCAGCGTGCGTATGCTTGATAAGGATGAAATTGCCACCATGCTTTGCCACACCAGTTACGAGGATCTATTCCACCGCTGATCAATAACAGATCATAAAAGATCACTTACGAAAAATGTAGGTCACTACTGGCTGGATTCGTTCAAATGTTCTCAGCCAATTTCAGCTGCCTGATTTAAGCAGGGAACATTCTGTGAAAAGTATGTGATTGGAAGAGTTGCTCGCGCAGACTCCAGAATTTGACTCTGCAGTTTCCTTGGTTACGCTATAGTGTGTTCATTGTTGCTGCAAAGATGATAAAAGCATTGTTTCTCCACTTATGACTTAATGGCCTACACCCACAATAAACAAACAAACAAAAAAAATCCCACACAAAATAAAACATTTTCAATTGGGACTTGATCATCAGATAACACATAATTTATTAATTAAAATAAAAAGCAATTTGTAAAATATCTAGTAAAAGGATTGTGTTGAGGGAACTTAGCTCAGTTGATGGAGATGTTGTATCTCAACCCGAAGTTAGTAAATTCGATCCATGGTCACCATGTGACTATGTTGATGCATTCTTGAGCCTAACACTTAAAAAAAAAAAAACAACAATAAAAAAGCCCAAATGGTTTTGTTTCAACCAAAAATCATCTTTCTATCACTCAAGTTACATGTCATCCTAGGGGACCCTTTTTGATACAACGTAGCAACTCTCTCATAGATGAAATAGTAAATCCAAGGATACTTTCTGCTTAGATCTCATTTGGGGAAGACAACAATTGCCTCTCAGTTGTTGCCATTTGAAAGTACCCCGCAGTCCACCCACATAGATTTGCCTTTTCAGGATTTTCCACACGTTTTCAGTAGGCTTGAGCTCAGGGATGATAGTTGCCACACCATAAGTGTTTCTTCATTGGTGTCCATTTGTGCCGCTTAAGCGTCAACTATTTTGACCACAGAAGGCACGGTTCTTCTTTTATACCATGGCAGGAAATGGTCAGTTAGATGCTTCACTTATTCTACAGAAGTCATTTTGACATCTTCAGGCATCCGCAAGGGGTCAACACTCCCCTTTATCCTGACCCAAAACAACAACAGTCCGCCAGTCATCCAGAACTTCATCCGTCAGTAAATAAAACTGTTTGGAAATTGGTCTCAATATGTTTTGAGCCCACTGCCAATGTTTCTCTTTGTGAAATTGGTTCAGGGTAACCAGAATATGTTTTGAATAAATATGAAGAAATAAGAATTTAATTCTTTGCCGTTTTCTATAAACCCGTCACCAACATCTAAGCTACTCCCCTCCCCCTCCGTCTGCAGAAGAGGAGCTAGAAGCAGCGTGACGCCGTCATACATCTCCCACCACCTCATTCCAGCATGACCAGCACAAGTTCCACACCGGGCAGAGGGGCAGCTGTGCATGCGTCTTCTGTACATCTGTAAGTAGAACTGAACATCTTTACAAATACTTTTTTTTTTGGCGGTGGGGGGAGGGGGCGCATTTAGGACCACACAGGAAACCTAACTATTTTTTTGGACTGTAGTCATTCGAGACAAAGAATTGTGCCTCCATGATATATTTAGACTGGGGAAAAGTGTGTGCCCTCTGCTCGTACTGTTGTCACAACACACCAAAGAATATGAGACTGTCGCACTCAAAGTCAGAGGCGCTCAGCCTGTTTATGATCTCCTAGAGACAGGGTCTGCTCTCACCTAATTAAGGTACAAAGGTATAATTCTAAATTGTTTCCTGTCGTGAACGCAGAAGCCTGAGAATGCCTTGTTCATCTATGTTAGGAGAACCACTTGAACTTGAGAGACAGTCTAAAACTTGGGTAACTCCGTTTGAAGAAAGCTGACTGTTATTTTTCGAGCTCAGTTTGGGGAACATGACTTTTTTTTTTTGTAGTGTGTTATAATAAGGCAGATGATTAAATCTTGAATGTTCCTCAATAACAGACATTCTGTGACATGCTTTATTTCATGTTCCTCAAATCAATCTCCCAGTTGTGCAACTCAATGCTTGCACAGTCCCAACTAAGCTTCCGTAATTTCATGCTTGAGTAACATCACTTTGAAGTGCTCGATGCTTTCTCATGGAGGATTTATCTGAACCCTCAACTTAACATGCATGCACATTGTCATTGAAAGAAGACTGTCTTGCTCTATTGAATGTAATGATTCGGGCTGCCATATTTCTTTCCGTCCAGTGTCTGCAGCAGTATGTTCAGCTGAGCATCAAGGAGGGTGGGGGGGCGGCCATCACCTGTCCTGATATGGCTTGCAGAAACACTGGGGTGCTACTTGATTCTGAGGTATGCCTCTTCATTCATAACAATGGAAACTAAAATGAATGCTTTTAAACTTGTGAATAAAGCTGTGTATACTTTCAATTACATTGTACCCCGTTACTTCTGATGAAAGAAAAGTGAAGCGCGGTAGTTAACCAGCAGAGGCACGGTCTAAAGCGAAAGTAACCAAACCGTTAAAAATAGATATACAGTGTAACCGACATAGGTTGATTAGTTTCAAATGGTGTGGACAAGATTACTTTAGTTTCATGTTAACCGGTTAAATTGATCTTTCTTATTCAAACATGAGGTGATATCCAAAGTCACAGAGAAGCATGAATTTTGATTAAATAGAACACTTTAATATGAAGTGATATGAAATGCATTCCACGTGTTCCCGTATGTAGTACAAATATAAACAAGGTTGTTCTGTCTTTGTTTCCAGATAGCCGAATTGGCCTCTGCTGATCAGACTAAGCTGTATGAGCGCTTGAAGTTTGAGAGAGGTGGGTATTGTATTGTTGTGCAAGTGCGCTGACGCCAAGCGACAGGCACGGGGCTATTTGAGGTCGCACATTAGCTGGAGGCGACACCACGTAGCACCACTGAGCCTCACATTCTTGGAACATTGCATTAGGGCTGGCTGATTTTTTTGCCTCCCCCCCTGCTTCTCAGCTTTTGCCCTAGTCTCCTGGAGGGTACAGAAACTTTATTCATCTTCAAACTACCTAGTCAGAAATGGGAAATCCTTGAATATGATCAAACTACGTTGATGTGAGTGTAATTTGCATTTTTTGGTATGCCATTGGGTGGAAAATATTTTCAGCGGCTGTGAGAGGTAGGAAAACATGAAGGGCTTTTGTAAGTTTTCCTCGTTACCGGCCACAACACCACCTTCACAATCTAATGATATTTAATGCAAAGAACTGGATGAAAAACAACAACAATACTGTCAGAGAGCCCCTGATTTAATACATTGTATGATTAACTTCCGTCCATAACGGCTATTTAATGCAAAGAACTGGATGAAAAACAACAACAATTCTGTTTTGAATACTGTCGAAGAGCCCCTAATTTAATACATCATATGATTAACTTCCGCCCATAACGGCTGCCCTTATTCGTATGGCTAATGGACTGGAGCCAATTCCAACTGATTGTAGATGAGAGGAGCAATACACCCTGGTTTGGTTGCCAGCCAAGCATCACAGGACAATATTTATTCACTCTTATTAAAAAAATGTGACTTTCATCATAATCTTTCTTGTTGCGGTTGATAGTTTGCAATTAAACAAGATAAAATCACTCATCAGCAATAAGGACATCTCTCAGTATGATTTGGGGCATTTTTACAGCGTTACTTCAACTACAACTAATATAATGAGCATATTGTTACATCTATAGCTGAGAAATATACATTTGTACACACCGAATTTGCTCTGTCAATAAGGCATGTAGTTGTACTCATTGTGGGATGTGAATGTGCGAATTAGCTCAATAAGTTATGCAAGTCACTTCCAAAATGTAAGATGTGTTCTTATCTACTGTCATGCCAAGTAATAAATAAGTCATGGATGTGTTATATCACTTTTGCATTCATTTTGAGTTAAAAAAAAAAAAAAACAACAACTCCACACCAAAACTGCTGTTTTAGGGAACTGGAACAGATTAATGCGAATTTGCTCTGTCAATAAGGCATGTAGTTGTACTCATTGTGAGATGTGAATGTGAAAATTAGCTCAATTAGTTATGCAAGTCACTTCCAAAATGTAAGATGTGTTCTTATCTACTGTCATGCCAAGTAACAAATAAGTCATGGATGTGTTATACCACTTTTGCATTCATTTTGAGTTTAAAAAAAAAAAAAAAAAGAACAACTCCCCACCAAAACTGCTGTTTTTGGGGGAACTGGAACAGATTAATTGCCTTTCAATTCATTTCAATAGGGAAAATGTATTTGATATGAGAGTAAGTGTCATTCCAAGCTTGGTCACGGAAAAAATGCCACTCGTAATTCAAGGGACCACGCAGGTGTGGATGTAACATAACCTTAGACATTCTAAGCGTATTCATACTAATATGTAATGTGCTCTCCACAGGAGTGAAGCTGGACCCGAGTAAAACCTGGTGTCCGGTGCTTGATTGTCAGGCCGGGTGCGACGTGCCGCTGAGCTCTGAGGGCCAGCCCTCCGCTGTGCCATGCCCGACATGTCACACCATCTTCTGCTCCGGCTGCAGAGGACCCTGGCAGGGGAGCCACACCTGTCCTGAGCAACAACCCATGAAGTCACACTTTGGTGAAAGCAGGTCAGTCCGAGAGGCGCGGAATTTGAAGTGCTGTGTGTGGAAGGAACCATACAGCTGTGCCGGAACGAATGAATTGCGAACAAGTTTCAAGACTTTGCTCCGTTGACTTTAGACTATTCCCAGCAGTTAGGGCATCTTTTTACCCACATTGAACCACCAAGTGCTGTGTGTGGAAGGAACCATACAGCTGTGCATGAATTGCAAACAAGTTTCAAGGCTTTGCTTCGTTGACTTCAGACTATTCCCAGCAGTTAGTGCATCTTTTTATCCACATCGAACCACCCTGCTTCGACTTTATTTTAGCTCGCTGAGCTGCGCCTCTGCCAGACTGATTGATGTCACTTGAGTCATGTTGTGATTCCATTGCATTTGAGCCAAAGCTTCGACTTTATTTTAGCTCGCTGAGCTGCGCCTCTGCCAGACTGATTGATGTCACTTGAGTCATATTGTGATTCCATTGCTTTTGAGCCAAAGGGAGGGTGCCCGCCCATGGCCAGGCTACTCCCTGTACAGAAGGAGCCTGTTTACTGCAGTGAAGCATGCCTCACTGCAGTTTGATGAAACAGGAATTAATTTAGCTGGTCTAGAACAAATACTTGGACAATGACAGAGTTTTTATAGGACCTCATACAACACAAGTGTGGCCATTCAGCTTCCAAACCTTATTTTTAATACCGTGAAAGTTTGACAATGACCGCTTTATGTCTGGTACTCATAGACATCACCAATTACGGTTTTTCGTCCCTGATGAAGTTATATGCTGCAATAACCACCAGATTACAGTTGATAGAGGTTTTAGGCCGAATTTAATTTTCCATTTACATGTCGACCTTGGCCAAATCATTGCACGCCATTCGTCCACGTCACTCAACGTCGTACTTTGTGCGCATACGTGTCACATCATGGACGGGTTGTGTTCACATTAGAAATCGTATTTGTATTTGTCATGTGAATGAGTACATAAAAAGATCGCCCCCCCCACCCCCAAAAAAAAAAAAATAAATAAAAAGTTATTTTTGTGTTGCTATGAGCTATTACCCTCAAAACTCTGGGATTTCGTCACTGCCTTGTGAAAACCAAAAGGCAGACGCTCTACTCCCTATATAGGTACTAACAAACTTATAGGCTGTGTTTAAAAAAAAAAGACGACGATTTATCAAATTGATTTTCCTTTTCATACGCTCTACTCCCTATATAGGTACTAACAAACTTATAAGGCTGTGTTTCCAAAAAAAAAGACGATGATTTATCAAATTGATTTTCCTTTTCATTGCATAAATCGATCCTTTTAATGTCTCTTTTACCCATAAATTCATGTGACTTCTTGTGTCGCGTGAGATCTCGTCACCATATGAGAGTAGCACATCAAAACAGCATGGCAGAAGCACTGAAATCAGCGTCAACAAGCTTGAATGTCGATGCGTGGAAGTTTGGAGGTTAAAAAAAAAGTCCCTCAAAGACAGCAATGAACTGAAACTTTGTGAGAGTCACATGAATGTGAATGTCATGACTTTACAATGTGATTTTGCCACACTTCATTTACACATACTTCCCTGTGTTTGGAATTGATTTAAATTATTATTTATTATTTTGATCTGTTCACAATTCATTTAACTGCATCAAGTTAAATTTTTGTTGTAACGATTCCGATGTTTACTAAAGTATCAAGGTAGAGCAAGAAGTTTCTATTTGCAGCACTACTTCCGAGAATGTCTTCCGTTCAAAACTAAAATTGTGAGTAAAATCGAATTAGGTCCTTGTGAATTGAATCGAACCGAATTTGGAAATCTGAATCGATACCCAGCCCGACGAACTAACCTTCCGATTTGTCGCCAACCAATTGTAGAGTCATGTTAGCTGAGTGTAGGAAAAAGACAGATTCAAGTGAAGCATGTAAAATGTTTTCTTTGTTCAGGTCCAATGAACCCAATTATAAAGTATGAGTGTGAACACGCTCTGATGCGTCTGAAACTGTGAATGTAAATCGTATTCAGTCTGATGTGCCCTGCCCCAGTTGTGCGATTGACAGATGAGTCAAGAGTGTAGGCCACCTCTGAGCAGATACGATTGCCTTTATGGAGAGTAGATGTTCTAAATCTGCTCAGACATCGCCAATGCGCCAAGCTCAGGGTCCTCACCCGTAGCGGTGTCCTTTTATTGCGTGCTTAGAATTCCCCCGTCATACCTCCGACCCCCAAAATATCGAACAACATGAGCACTGACCCGACACTGTGCCACTAAATAAAGGTCTCACAATTGACATACCCACGAGACTTCCATGACTTGCTCTTCTAAACTCTCCCCCACTAATCTCTTGTCTCTTTCGAACAACATCTGCGGGCACCACCTGCAGCAGCGACTCTGAGTCGCCCATCAAACAGTGCCCGATGTGTGGCATCTACATCGAGCGGAACCAGGGCTGTGCACAAATGCTGTGCAAGAGCTGCAAACACACCTTCTGTTGGTACTGTCTGCAGAACCTGGATGTGAGTCTCGTTCCAAAATGCAGAGCACTTTTTCAGGTGTCTTTCTTGTCTCAACATGTGCGTTTTGTAATTGCAGAGTGACATTTTCCTCAGGCATTACGATAAAGGGCCTTGCAGGAACAAACTTGGCCACTCCAGAGCCTCTGTTATGTGGAACCGAACGCAGGTAAGCAGCACAGACAAATATAATTGCCATTCAGGAATTCATGTTCAAACAAGGGCAGTAAAAGAACAAATATTGAAAACAAGAACTTGAAGGGCCTGCGCATGGCGGAGCCAGAGCGGCCTCTCCTTGAATACACTGATGCTAGTCTTTTTACAGGTGATTAAAAAAAAGCACGCAACCTGTCCAAACTAAAAACAACAAACATTAAAACTTGATCCCAGGAGATGCAGCCTGTGAGGAAATGCAGGACAGAAACCAACAAAACACTGCAAACTCTGACCTGGCACAGTTTACTGAGATGACACTAAGGTTGCTGATGTTGAATTTTCCAAAGACGTGTGTGCCACATTGTGTTTCGGATTTGTTGTAAATTTCCATGTACTCAGTTAGCCCTTCATCAGACAAGAATCGGAGATAATCCCACAAATCCCAAATTCTTGCCTTCAAGTGATATCGTACTGCCAACAAAACTAGAGTATTTAACGGACAACTTTCTTCCTGCGTCCTGTTGTGACGGTGCAACTAATTGAGGATTTACTGTAGTTCAAATATTATGCAGAAGCTATGGTACGGTTACAACCTCTTTTAGAATGCCATTGAAACCCCCGGGGGCAGAGAGTGTGCAAAGTTGCACAAGCACAAGAGTGCACTTCATCACTTCGTGATTGGGTTACTTCCTGGCCTAACAGGTTACACAACCCACAAATCTCTTTGGAGACATTTTTCTGTCGTCAAGACGATTACATGCTATCTAACCACACCCATTTGATCACTTCACTGGCATCCGAGGTTTACTGGAGGACAAGGTTGCCCACACTTTTTTCAACATGCAAGCTACTTATAAAATAACCAAATCAAAATGACCTCCCCATTTTATTTCATTTATTTAAAACTAGACATATATTGGTGTACCTTGAATAACTGCATTAATCGCTCGCTCTCTGTGTGTGTGTGTGTGTATGTATGTGTATGTGTATGTGTGTGTGTGTGTGTGTGTGTGTGTGTGTGTGTGTGTGTGTGTGTGTGTGTGTGTGTGTGTTTTCACTTATTCACTGCTGTAGACAGGCAGCTATATCAATGGCTTAAAACTGGCCGAGATTGAGTTCATGTCATGAGCGCTACCGACACTGCCTGCTGGTACCTCACTATCTCTTAAATGGGCACCCCAGCTGTAGGATATCAATCTTGCCTTGATTTGGCTACTCTAACTTGATACTTGTATGTTTTGTCATGAGAACAATACCCCCCCACCCCGCCATGTCTCCAACACAGTGAGCTCTCCTGCAAATGGGAATGTTTGTCTAGTTGTCCTGGAAGAGTTTCCCTTTCCCAGTAACGGATTACAGTTGATTTTCTGCTTATTTTGTTATTGTGGTTCTTGCATAAAATCTCTGTTTGGCGCTACACTCAAATTGCTTGTCGCTATGGAAGGCGACACACACACACACACACACACACACACACACACACACACACACACACACACACACACAAATAGCATGAACAGTGTGAAAGGAGAATTTGCATACTCAAAGCAACTTTTTGCAAGAGCTGTTTTTATACATTTACAGCAAGTTAAGGGGCATAAATGGAATTTGTTCCAAACTCGAATGCCGTGGGAGGGTGGGAACATTTTGGAGTGAAGATGGATGTTATCGGGCCTTCGTGTTCATCAACGAGCTGTTGTGATGCTTTTGTATGAAGAAATTTGCAACACAATAAACCTCAAAGTCCATTTAAGACAACCATCAGCACAGTTTCTTCAACTGGGAACAAAAAACATGACTGGACATGGAGGGCCATCCATTTCCTGATAGCTTACAATTATAGCTCCTCACAGATAGCGTTACTGGCTTGTTAGAGAAACACATGCAACCATTCAACACTGTTGAGAAACCAGCATTTAAGCTGTCGACTCTTAATAGGCAGGTAGAATTGCCTTCCCAAACACCCATTCCAGCCTTGTACAAGCGGGTGAAAGAGGACATTCTGAAGGAGATAAGAAATCTCATTTCACCCTGTCTGCTTGATAGTACAGATGTCTGGCTATATTTGTGATGTATGAATATTTAAGTGCAATTTATTTTATTCATTGCGCTACATTTCAGTGCCAATATTCAACATTCTTGAGAATTAAGATGCTTGCTCTTTAAAAAAGGATGAACTTGAATTATATGCTCTAATGTCCTTGGTGTCAGTTGGCATAGAAAAAAAAAACAGATTCTGGCAAAATACATCGTTATAAAAAAATGTTATGACAGGCCTAACAATAACGAAATAATCAGATAAGACATACAGGTAGGCTACACAATACAATGCGGAAAATGGAGGTCACCTTGCATACTCATTTTTGGGCGTGCATTCCATATTTAAAAACATATATATATTGTTGACTTTTTGTTTGCTAGCCTTATTGGAATGAGCATCCTGGACAATGTTCTTTTTTGAACAGCCCAACGCATGGCTAATTTTCATGAAAATTCCAAATTTTTTAACCTTAAGACTGAAGAGTGTTTGAATTTGTCACTACGTATACTTGATAATGTGATGTACGCATATTTTAGCGTCAGTTTGTCAGTCTGACCACGGTTCCTGTATGTTGTCCTTCAGGTGGCGGGAATCTTGGTTGGGGTAAGCATTGTGATGCTGATTACCTCTCCACTCCTTTTGCTGGCCTCCCCGTGCATCCTGTGTTGCCTCTGCAAGCCCTGCAGAGTGAAGAAGAAGAAGAGAAAGAAGGAATTGAGTCCCGCAGACTCCTCCACATAGCAGCTTTCCTGTTGGGCCCTGCACCAGGCTCAAGTAGCTTGGGGAATCATTGACTGCACCAGATCGGATGTGCACTCTGGTACAAAATCAAATGTGGGCTTTGACAGTGACGGTGATGATGCCAACAAGTACACATCATCAGCACTTGAAAAAGATTCAGTGGGCCTCTTATATGCAGAACTATATCACCACTGACTCATGTGCATTGTGCCAGAAGAGTGGCAGTAAAGAGAAAGCGGTGAATTTTGCACTCATGCACTTCAACCTCCAGCTAAATGCGAGGTGCTTAAGTGCCTGAGTCTTTGCTGTGCCTGGTGCCGGGTTGCATTTGTTTCGCCTTCTTTTATCGTACGCACATCACTTAGAATGTAAAGGTCACTAATAAGTCAGTAAGTACCGGTAATGTCAAGCGGAAGAAGCAAGAAAGCTAAACTTTCCTGTATGCACCTTATTCTTATTCTTGTAGTGAAACAAGATAGGGCTTCAACCGTGCACAAAAATGTATCCCACTGAAAATGTTTTTGTTTCCATGAGGCCGACGCTCCAGACTGGACTGAAGGATCTAAAGTATCAGTCACTTCACCAACATTGTTTGCAACATTGACCCATTTCCCAGCAAGTACATCCACACATTTTTTGCAAACATTTGGAAAGTAATATTTGAACAGAATGGCATTGAAGCCAATGAAAACCAACTGTAAAACAGCCCACACTGACTGTAGTCATAATGAGTGGAAGGCCAGTGCTTGTTTCTATTCAATGAGCTGGTACCACCTTGAGGTAAGGGCAGAGAATGACAGCCCAAGTTAGTGCTGAATGTAATCAGCTCAGTAATTTTGTTTTGATTGACGTCATTGCAGAATTTCGCACATTACAATAATAAGATGCAGAGGATAGGAATTCAATGCTTTTTTTTTGTTGGTTGGGCAAACTGGATATTCTGCCACAATTTTAATCTAGGCTTGTCTTCTAATTCTGGTTGCTTGGTCTTCATGTGCCAGAGCAATTTTGCAAGCCTCTTGCTATGTACTGGTATTACACTGAGTGGGCTTGGCGCGTGAGAATCGCCTGTAGAAAATCAGCCATAAGGCTGAGAAGATAGGGATGGCTGTGAATGAGTCTTCCATACAGCTTACTTGTTGGAGGCTCTTCTCATCATTGAGCTTTTTTCCCCCCTTTCTGAACAATTTCTCCAAAGATGATTTTTTTTTTTTAAAACTAAGATTGTGGGATTACTTTTTTGTTTTTTTTAAACTACCATATCACTTGACCAAGACAAGCAGTTTGACCAATGGAGAGGCATACATGCACCCATGATTTTCAAAATAAAATTCTGAAAGATTCAGATGATCAAAATATATATATTTTATGCACTTTCTGCGCTGGTGGTTGGTTACTGCTGCTTTAAAAGATCATTGATATTAGTTCTATAACTGTATTAGGTACATTATTTTGTTGGTGTTTCAGCATAACATGTTTTCTAAAATTGAAATAAAGACACTGCATTGAATGTGTTTTGTCAACTTTTTTCAAGTTGACAAGTCGTCGCTTTGTCGATAACTCGTTTAAATTACGTAAACCGAGCAGCCCCAATTCAAAGTGCACTGTAATTTAAGATTTCTAGGGACACCTTGTGGCCATATACTGAACTCCTTCAGGAAGAAGAACGTCGACAAACTTTCTAAATGCAGCAACCGTAATCGTCGTGATTCAATGGCGTCTCAGAAGGAATTCTTTGCGGGTAAAACACATATTAGGACGCTTAACACTTATCATTAACTAACACGCGTTATATTTTTGCATCGTAGCTGTTCTTTGGCGCGGCTGCAAACACGAAGGCCCTAACAACTTGAATTCTACTTTCATTTTTGTCTGAGCCGACTGTTGTTTTTAGTCATGCACAAACATTTGTGGAGCGTGTGCAAATGTATGATTTATTGTTTGCCCAGTTCTTTTTTCGACGCTTCCATGTGCAGGCATGAAATATTGTATTACATTTCTGCTGCATAGGCATTCCCAAGATCCCATATATTGCCGGTGCTGGGCCGGGAGATATCCTGTGCTTTAAACACTACAATTCACAGGAGGTACAGACACGTGTAGCAGTGTGTTAACTAGTGCGCATGTGAAGTGATACGTGATTTGCATCTCCAACGTGTGCAGGTTCTTATGGGGAAGACGATGGAGGACTGGCTGAGATTCTCAGTTTGCTACTGGCACACTTTCTGTGGAACTGGTATTGTAACAATTTGTCACCCAAAATACAATTAAGTACAGGAACACTGGGTAGCCCTGCATATCAAAAACAAGAGCTCAATTAAAAATGCAGTTTGGTTACCTACGTAGTCAAATACAGTTTCCAACCATCTGCAAAATGGAGAATTGTTGGATGGTCTCAGTGATATTCACGCCCCAAAATGGTGGGAGGGCATCACAACATTCATTCAGTTTGTTATAGAACCGATTTTTGAGATTTTGGCACAGGCCTAGTGCTGAGTTTTATAACATACTTTTAAGACTCTATGAGAGCCTCAGGTGAGGACGTCACAAAAAGTGTATATCCTGAAATCATGACAATTGCGTCTCAATTTACTCACAAATGGACGTAATGTAAAATACGGGCCTGTTTAGTTTGGCTATTCTTCTGTTGTTGTTGGCAAAAGGTTGCCACCCGGTTTAATCATTCTTTCTGCCATCAAGTGACAGAACGTGTTTATGCTGTCATGTCTGCTCGTTGCAGACATAGGCCGATGGACACAGACACTTCATTTGAAGTAAATAAATAATAATTTATGGACCAACTAAGTGAAATTGGCAAATTTTTCCTGCGGCACAACTGACAATCTCTTGGCGCAGTCATTTGGAAACACTACATTAGACTAAGCAGGTTTTGCCTGTGTATGTAACATGTAAAATTGGTTGGTTTAAATCCTGTGATCGTCACTTGGCCTTTACGTTTCAGGCTTTTACATCGTTTTGATACATGTGATGGTTTTAAGAGACCGTGTGATTTTATGTTGGGGTTGCAGGTGCCGATCCCTTTGGATTTCCGACGCTCCTTCGGTCTTGGAACGAAGGCTCTCCCATGGAAGCAGCCAAGAAGCGACTGCAGGCTGCTTTTGAGTTTTTTACCAAGATTGGCGTGAGGGAATTCAACTTCTTATCGAAGTCTGGCCGGAAGTCGATTGTGCAAAATACTACATGTTAACATTTTGTTGCATCTGCTTGTTTTCACAGGTGAAATATTACACATTTCATGACAGGTAACGGACTAGACTTGACTTGACAGGACAGGACATGATCTTTTGAGGTGGCAAAGGTAAACATGCGTGGCAAAATAAACTTGTTTTGTATATGATCTGCCCTTTTAGAGACATGGCACCTGAGGGCTCCACCCTAGAGGAGTCAAACAGGAATCTGGATGAAATCACCGATTTAGCTCTTGAGTTACAGAAACGGACTGGAGTCAAGGTGCTGTGGGTTACCTGCAACCTCTTTGCCCATCCAAGGTCTGTGCAATACACATTTGTACAGGATTTAGTCCCCTTTCATTTTTGTTTCACTACTTCAAAGGAATGTAGAAAGTGAATGTCATGCACCCTATGGCCCGAAACGTTACAGAGGAAACATTTTTTGGCGCTGTAATTCATGAATGCTTACAACTGTGTTTGAAATAGGCAGCTGAAAACAAACTTCTCGATTTTTCTTCCTGTAGTCACCAGTCTCAATATTTGATCAATATGGACTTAGTTTTCCACTTGATCGCGAGAGAGACGACATATAGCGTGTGAGCTGAAATCTGTGTATAGAAGGGGATCCAACCAATCATTTTTTGAAAAAAAATGCATCTGTGTCGTGTACTTTCTTTCTTACAGCATGTGATCCGGGGATGTCATTAATATTTGTCAACTGAGGGACTGTGAATCCCTTACAAACTCTTTTGTGATTAATATATAGATATAAATTTGACTCGACAGCTTCAGTGTGCTTGTCAGACGTTGGACAAGGAGGAGCCTTTTATTTTGATTACTTGGCGGTTCATCAATGACAAATGAGACGTTATAGTTGATCGCTCTTCTACTTGTATTTGGCAGGTACATGAATGGTGCAGCCACCAACCCAGACTGTCACGTTCTGGCCTATGCTGGTGCTCAGGTCAAGAAGGGGCTGGATGTTGCCAAGAAGCTGGGTGCAGAAAACTTTGGTATGGGAGAGAAGACACTATGAACATATATTTTGAAAAGCTGCACATCCCTAACTTTTTTGTGAGCAGTGCATTTACGAAAGACAAGAAGTGTATCTTTGTCCTCAGTGTTTTGGGGAGGAAGAGAGGGTTTTCTCTCTGTCCATAATACTGATGTCGCCGCAGAACTGAAACATATGGCCAACTTCTTCAAAATGGCGATCAGTAAGTAAATATACGACTCACTAAACCCTTGATTTGATACATGTGCACAATCTACTTCAATCCAATACAAGAGCTGCTTTTCAAAAGGTCATCAGTACTCTGTGTTGTTGGAGCCTGTCAGATGGGTATTCAACAAAATACGCTTGATACGCACAAATACAAAACAAAAAGCCTGAACTGTGTCACAAGGTGGTTCGACTCATTCTTTGTATTATGTTTGGTGCCTTGTGAATCCAATATGATATGAAGTGGAACTTCCAGTTAGGATCTTGATTGGTTCTGTGAGCTAGTTTGTACATGAAAAAGGGCAGTTCCTTCCCCCCAAAAAAGTATTTTGCTTCCATGCATTTGCATTCAGGCTGTTTAGGGCAGCCCCCAACCAGATCCTGGCGCAACATCCAGGCTGGACTGTAGAAGGATTCTAATATGTCCTAATTTCTATGATTGCTCAGGCGATTGTTTGATACAACTCTGATATTGAACTCTTGAAATTGTGTACCTAATGTTTGTCGGTAGTGATGGGATAATGAAAGTCGTTTCTCTGTCATGTGCTTCCTATCACCAGAGTACAAAGAGAAGATTGGGTTAAAGTGCCAGTTTCTGATCGAGCCAAAGCCAAAGGAGCCCTGTAAACACCAGTATGACTACGGTAAAGTGTTCAACTTAAGTGGACCTTAACTTATTTAATGAGCACCCAACCTTGTGAATTTTTCAAGTTGACAACTCGTCGCTTTGTCGATTTTTGCGTCGTGAGCCAATCACGAGCGAGCTTCAGACACGCTGCTGCTGGACTGAAATGGGGGGGAAGGAGCACAACTATATGATGCACTTTTAGCTGAATATTTTATTGTTGTTTTATGTCTTAATATTTTACAATATTATGAAAAACATCGAACCTTATAACCAAAAATGTGGTTGTGTTTTTGGGAGAGGCTGGAATGGACTAATGGCATTCCACTTGTCAGGATTTTCTTCCTGATGTCGAGCCGTTTCCCTCCGCAGATGCGATGAGCGTCCTCGGATTCCTCAAGCATTATGGTTTGGAAAGCCACTTTAAGTTGAACATTGAGCCCAACCACACCACCTTGGCGGGACACTCGTATGAACATGACGTTGTCATGGCCTCTGCGTGAGACACCTCGACATGTGCAGCCTTCTTCATGTGATGTCACTTGAGCCTCGCTCGACCTAATTTCTATGATTGCTCAGGCGATTGTTTGATACAACTCTGATATTGAACTCTTGAAATTGTGTACCTAATGTTTGTCGGTAGTGATGGGATAATGAAAGTCGTTTCTCTGTCATGTGCTTCCTATCACCAGAGTACAAAGAGAAGATTGGGTTAAAGTGCCAGTTTCTGATCGAGCCAAAGCCAAAGGAGCCCTGTAAACACCAGTATGACTACGGTAAAGTGTTCAACTTAAGTGGACCTTAACTTATTTAATGAGCACCCAACCTTGTGAATTTTTCAAGTTGACAACTCGTCGCTTTGTCGATTTTTGCGTCGTGAGCCAATCACGAGCGAGCTTCAGACACGCTGCTGCTGGACTGAAATGGGGGGGAAGGAGCACAACTATATGATGCACTTTTAGCTGAATATTTTATTGTTGTTTTATGTCTTAATATTTTACAATATTATGAAAAACATCGAACCTTATAACCAAAAATGTGGTTGTGTTTTTGGGAGAGGCTGGAATGGACTAATGGCATTCCACTTGTCAGGATTTTCTTCCTGATGTCGAGCCGTTTCCCTCCGCAGATGCGATGAGCGTCCTCGGATTCCTCAAGCATTATGGTTTGG